TGACAGACAGCAGCACTGAGAAGTCATCCTAATTTTAGGGGAGGAAGATCCAGTAGTGAGTAGAACCCAGGGTGGTCCAGCCAGGAGACGTCTCTGCAATGGGAGGGACTGCAGGGGGCAGGGTCTGGGGCTGCTGCTCTGCCTGGGTGCCTGCCCAGGCGCCTGAGCCTCAGAGAGAAGGGCTTGGAGGCGCCACACCTGTGCTCATGGCCAGCCCTGCTGTACCTGCTTTGAGCGGATTTTTACAGAAACCTTCAGATGGGCAGAGCCAGTTCTTGAGGGCTGTGGCAGGAGGGACCTCACTTCCTCATACTGCTAGGCAGGAAAATAGATATGAGCGGGGTGGAAAGAGAATAAGGCCAGTAAAATCCACTAGAAGGGACTCAAAGAGTTAGCCAGTTAAAAAAAGAAAAGCTAGAAGGCCAGGAGCAACTTGGCCTAGAAGTTTGAATACTCCCCAGGTAAAGAAAAGTATCTCAGCATAGCCTATGTCTTCACTGTGTCAATTAGAACACACCATTGTAAGATTTACTTTAGCCTGCTCGAAGGCCCAGCTTATTTAGGAAGGATTCTATCTTAAAGTTAAAACTGCATTTTAATCAAACAGACAGTGGCTCAGCCCACCTTGGATGCAGGGCAGACAGTCTTGATTCATATGCTTCCAGACAGAAGCTGATATCCTGGAAAGGAATCAAAGCAGATATTTCTTGTGTTAAGTTAAAAAAAAAAAGAAACTTAATGTCTTATCAAAGAGGAACTTTCTGAGACCATTTGGCAGGTCCACACCTGGCCCTTTGTCACTTTCCTGAAAATCCTCAACCGTCTATAAATCCCCAGACCCTACACCTGTTGGTGCCCTCCTCTCTGAGGTCGCCCGCACTTGCTAAGTGCATAGTCTTAAAAATTTATCTCAACCTTCCAGTGCGCCTCTTCTGTGAGGTCGCTCACACTCCCCTTTCTCCAGGTGGGCACTTGCTCTCTTTAAATAAAACTTAAACCTTTCAGGGTGCCTCTTCTCCCTGAGGTTGTCCATACTTTTTCTTTCTTTAAGTAACTTTAAATAAAACTTTTACTCTGCTTCATTACTGTGCCTCTGTCCTTCAATTCTTTGTTGCGGCAGGGACAAGAACAGAGGAAAATACACAACGTTCCCCCCCAACAACACCTCCCTAGATGTTTGCCTTCTCTTTGACCTCTGGGAAGAAAATTTGTTCCTCTGACCTCTGCTGTCTTGGTTACACCGATTTGTTGTCTTTAATCTTTTTCTCCTGCTTTTCTGTTTCAGTTAGCACCGTTGGTCTTGTCTTTTAGATAAAAATCATTTATTCACCCATTCATTCATGAATAAGAGTATGAGTTTGGAATTATAGAGACATGAAGTTTAATCCTGGCTCGGCCACTGTATCAGTGAGGATGGGCTAGGCTATGCTGCAGTAACAATCCCATATCTCAGTGACTTAAACCCAAAAAAGCTTATTTCACTGTGTTTTATTCACTGTGTAATGTCCATTGTGGGTTGGCTGGAGGCTGTCCTCCAAATCACAGGCAGAGACCTGGACGGAAGGGGCAGTCACCACTTGGTGCACTGTTTAGGACTATGGCAAGAGGAAAGGGATGTGGCAAATCATGCATTTTATTTATAGTATTTCTCTGGAAGTGACACACATTACTTCCCCTTGAGTTTTATTGTCTAAAACAAGCCATGAGACTGCTTAACTTCAATCTTAGCAAGTGCCTGGATGGAGAACCAGAATATTGGCACAGAGCTCTAATGACTAGAAAAAGCCATTTACAATCCCTGTATGACCTTAGGTGGTACTGAAACTTGCTCTATGCCTTGGTCTTGCCTGTAAAATGCAGTATATAATAACAGCACCCATCTCTTTGGTTGTCATGAAGGTCAGAAGAAGCGATGCATGTGTATCAGTTACCTAGTGCTGTGTAACAAACTTCAGTGCCTTAACCAAGCACTCAGCTCACAGTTGGCAGTTTGACAATTTAGTTGTTGTGTATCAGTTACCTAGTGCTGTGTAACAAACTTCAGTGCCTTAACCAAGCACTCAGCTCACAGTTGGCAGTTTGATGATTTAGTTGGTGCTCATATGGACAGGTTTTGGGGGCTCAGCTGGGCTCTGTGCATTATGTGTGACTAGTTATCCAGGTGACCTGTCTTATGGAGGTTGTGTGGCTGTCAGCTGAGGCACTTCAACTGTCTTTCCCGAGGTCTTTCATACTTTAGCAGGCCGGCCTTTTGTGGTGCAGTCAGGCAACCAAGAAAGAGAACAAAAGACTAGGAGGAGTCTGGCAGCCTAAACTTGGAACTGTACTCCATCACCTCTTCTGCATCTTACCAGGCAAAGAAAGTCTACAAAGGCAGCCCAACTTAAAGGACCTGGATGTAGGTCCACATCCTGATGGATGGAGCTGCAAAACCACACTGAGAAGCTTGTGGATATGGAATCGGGCCCATTTGTGTAATCACCCTACCACAATCTTCCCTCTGGTCAAAATTATTCACATCCCTCTACATGCAAACTATACTCAACCCCTCTGAAGACCCTCAAAATTCTTACTCAATTATGTCATAAGGCTCAGAATCTAGGGTCTTGTAATATACATAAAACCCAGACGTAGCACTTCTTGATCTGGAGACCTGATGAACAAAAAAGAAGGTGATCTGTCTTCCCCACACACAACATACAATGATGAAACAGGGATAGGATAGCATAATAGCAGTAAATACTCACATTTGAAACAGACTAGCACTGACCCACAGTAACTGTGACATCCTTCTCGGCAGAAATGTTGCCCTCTGGGAGAGGAGTGCTCCTTGATTAGACCATGGTCCCGCTCCCTGGAAATGCTGCCCTAGTTGACTGTTGTCCACAACTCTTGGCTCTGCTCTCTGGGCTCTTGGTTCTACTCTCTGAGACATGCTTTCTTCTCTGTCACCCTCCACAGCAACTTCTGAAGAAATTATCTATGGTGCTTGCTCAAGAGTCTTCTCAGCCTGCTTCTTGGCCATAGAAAGGTAAGGATCCAGAGGCCTTTTTGCCTGTCGAATAGTCTTAATTCCTCTTGGCCCAGGCTGGCTGCATTTTTGCCAGCACAACTCCTATCAACAACACTGTGGAGTTTCTATGTATTTTATGATAGCCACTTCATTTTCAAAAGGCCACACCCACAATTACTTCAACGTCTGTCCCTCTCTCTAGACTTAATGAGATATTGAAATTATGTTTCTGTGAGATGTTTCTCGTAAGCTTCCTAAAGCCCATTTGATCATCTGGGGAGTTCCACTGGGTGGTGCATTTATTGTTTATAGGTCTTAACAAAAGATCTTAAAGCCACATATTATGGCTTCATTCTTTTTTAAGAGATTCACTGGTATACTTAGCATATGATTGAGTGCACAAACAAAAATCTAGGCTGGACATACATTTATACCTGTGACATTATCACCATAATCAAGATAATGAACATATGCATCATACCAAAAACTCTTGGGGGACTTTCACATTCTCACCCTCCCACCCGTTCTACTCCCAGTCCCATCCTAAGCAAACATTTTCTGCCATCTCCCGCACAGGTTACTTTGTATTGAGCAAATGGAATACAGTTCCATTTCCTAACATTTTATATAAAGGGAATCATACAGTATGTACAGCTTTTTTTTTCTTTGCATTCCTTTGCTTAGCTTTCTTGCTTATTTATTTTGAGATCATCTGTATTGCTAATTCATCAGTACTTTATTCCTTTTTATTGCTGAGTACTATTCCATTATATGGATACAGCATAGTTTGTTCACCCATTCATCCATTGATGAATATTTTGGATAGGTCTAGTTTTGGCTCTTACAAATAAAGTTGAGGTGAATATTCAAGTAGAAGTCTTTGAGTGGACATGTGCTTTCATTTCTCGAGGTTAAATGCCGATGAGTGGAATGGCTGCGGGATGGGATAGGCATATATTTAACGTTTAAGAAACTGTCCAACTGTTTTCCAAAACACTTGTACTGTTTGAGTCTCCTGCCAGCAGCCTAAGAGTTCTAGTGGCTCCACAGCCTCACTGACACTTGGCGTGGCAGTCTGTAATTTTAGCCATTCTCTGTGTGCATCATGGTGTCTCATTGTGCTTTAGATGTGGATTTCCCTACTGACTGAAGATGGTGAATATCTTTTCAGCTGCCTAATTGCCATGAGTTATTTCATCACATATTTTGCCTATTTAAAAATTGAGTTGAGAGTGTGTTGAAAATTCTGTGTATATTGTAGATTGAAGTCCTTTATCAGATATATGATTTCCAAATATTTTCTCCCAATCTGTCTATGGCTAATTTTTTAATTCTTTTGACCGTGATTTAGGAGAGCAGATCTTAATTTTGTTGAAGTCCAATTTATTAATTTGTTCTTTTAAGGATCGTGTGCTTACTGTTGTATTTAAGATCTTTTTGTTTAACTACAAGTCATGGAAATTTTCTGCTATGCTTTCTACTAGAAATTTTGTGACTTTAGGTTTTATATTTAGGTCTATGATCTGTTTGCCTTAAATTTTTTGGTATGGTGCAAGATATAGGCCAAAGTTCTTTTCCTTTTTATTGATTGATTGATTGCATATGGTTATACAATTGTTATAGTCAATTTGCTGAAAGACATATTTTATCCAGTTAATTGCCTTTGGACCTTTGTCAAAAATCAATTCACTGATGAGAGCATTTCCTGACAAGGATCTCTGAAGATCCACTTCTCCATAAAAGCAATGAGAATACTGGTAAATATGGTTAAAAGTAAGTTTTTCAGAAATCAACCAAAGGCTTGCACTATTATGCTGAATGTTTATTTAAAAAGAAAAGAAGAAAGACAGAGAAAGAAAGAAACAGCTGAATCTCAGTAAAAATCTAGCTTTGCCATATTTTAAGTTAATTTCTCCCCAGCTCCTTCTATTCCCATCCCATTCTAATGGAGCAGGATTTAAACTGCACCTCCAGTGAGTAGAGACCCGAGATGCAGAAAGGTGTGGCCAGGAGAGAGCAGACGGGTCCTCCAACGTGCGGGTATCTCAGGGGCTGTGTGTGTAGCCAGCACCCAGGGCCCTGTGGGAATGTGGTGGGAAGGAAGCTGAAGAATGGGCACAGATCTTGTGGAACTGGATACACGAGGCCCAGATGCAGGCCTTGATCTTGAGGGTAATGGGCAGCACTGATGACTGTTAAACTGACAGCAGAGAAACTTCAGCCTGAAGCTTCAGAAGTCCCTCTGGCTGTAATGAGCAGAGAATCCCAGGTGTAACCTCACGTCGCCTGAGACACTGATGAAATCAGAGGTGCTGGACCCTCAGAACTATTGCTAAATCTGGAGTTTATCTCCTCTGGACGTGCCTTGTTATCAAAGTGTGAGGGTGGGTATTTGAGATAAATAATAAAAGACTCCTTTACTTGTTCCAGGGGCTCTGTAGGAACGTGGCTGAGGGGAGGAAGGGGGACCCAGCCATCCTCAGTCACACAGCAGGCTGGTGTGAGAGGCTGCGCTCTCAGAGGCCAAGGCACACTGCAGCCCTTCACGGCCCCAGACCAGGGTGGGGCTGCTCCCTGGCTAAAGGACATCACGGTTCCTGTCCTCTGTCCTGTGGATTCACAGAAAACCTTATCCTTCTGAGCATTCCTGTCCTCGGGAGAAAGAGGCCAGGCTTTGGAACTGGATACACGAGGCCCAGATGCAGGCCTTGATCTTGAGGGTAATGGGCAGCACTGATGACTGTTAAACTGACAGCAGAGAAACTTCAGCCTGAAGCTTCAGAAGTCCCTCTGGCTGTAATGAGCAGAGAATCCCAGGTGTAACCTCACGTCGCCTGAGACACTGATGAAATCAGAGGTGCTGGACCCTCAGAACTATTGCTAAATCTGGAGTTTATCTCCTCTGGACGTGCCTTGTTATCAAAGTGTGAGGGTGGGTATTTGAGATAAATAATAAAAGACTCCTTTACCTGTTCTGGGGGCTCTGTAGGAACATGGCTGAGGGGAGGAAGGGGGACCCAGCCATCCTCAGTCACGCAGCAGGCTGGTGTGAGAGGCTGCGCTCTCAGAGGCCAAGGCACAGTGCAGCCCTTCATGGCCCCAGACCAGGGTGGGGCTGCTCCCTGGCTAAAGGACGTCACGGTTCCTGTCCTCTGTCCTGTGGATTCACAGAAAACCTTATCCTTCTGAGCATTCCTGTCCTCGGGAGAAAGAGGCCAGGCTTTGAAGAAGGACTGCGGGAGGGCGAGCTCCGTGGGCACAGGGCAGCTGCCTGGAGCCTTGCTGCCCACCTCCAGCTCCGCCTGGGGCCCCATCTGCCTCACCGTCTCCCAGGAAAGGCCGGCTGTGTCCAACCCTAGTGCATGACCTCAGGCTATTGAAAAAGAGAATTTGGAAGAGGGATTTTTCTGGTTTCCTTAAAGCCTATCAGTGAGGCATCCAGTTATGCCGCCTATATGAGGCTCTCGTTACTAAAATATCCTGGATTGTGATGCTAATAGCAGATTTGCTAAATGGAAATGAATTCTTAATGTCATAATTTGCCTTTTCCTTTTCATCTAATTCATTTTATTTCTAGTTGTCACTTCCTAAAGGCAAATGAAACTTGGAAACATCTCTTGCCCTTTTTGCTTGTGACATATTTAGTTGGCTTTCATCACATCTCAGAATTTCTGAGGACTTGTCTGCAAGCAGCATGCCCGATGGGCCTGTGAACATTTGTTTTAGTGATGAGTGACCCCCACCCCAAGAACCACTCCTCCTTGGGCAGCCTTACCTCCAGCTTGATGCTACCTTGAGGTAGAGCATGGGAGACCCAGTCAGCTGGAGATGTCACCCAAGAGGGCTGGTGTCTCCAGGCCCCACCGGTCTTTGGCTACTGATGCCATAGCAGTAGCAAAACCCAAGTGTCAGAAGGCCTTGCACACCCCTGGCCACAGGCCCTCGGCATTCCTGTGTGTGTGGGAAGGTCCCTGGGAGATGTCCTGGGCTCACAGATAAGTTTGCACATCGGCTTGCTGAGCATGGGCGAGACAGAACTGCATGCTTCTGTGGCTTGGGGGACAAGTTGCTTCTCTCTTCCTACACCCGTGTGTGAAGGGGTGCCCGCCCTTAGAGAAGCAAATCTGCATTCTCACTTACAGCCCCCTCATGACTGGCCAAAGGGCTAGGAGAAGGTCTGATTTCTGTCACGGCCCTGTGACTGTTCAGAATCAGCCCTACTCTCTGCCCCCTGAAGCTCTGTCTCCCGGTAGGATGGGTGGTCGTCCTGGAGGTGCCTCAACCACTGACGTGAGACTTGTGCTGACCCCCACAGCCATCCAGAAGGGCACCTGCAGGGGACTGATGAGGTGCTGCGAGCCCAGCTCAGCAGGAAATCCCAGCGTGCAAGCACATTCAGAGGCTGGAAATCATCCTTAATGTCAGGACACATTTGGCACCTGCTGTTACAAGGGGGCCCTTGCCCAGGTGTGGGCTCACTGGCCACAGACATGCGAGTGAGTGTCAGCAGGCATGAAAGGTGAGGATGAGTCCCCGATTGGTCCAAATGCATTGATCCACCACTGAATAAAATTTTGTTCATTCATTCAACAAATATTTATTAAGTGTCTGCTGTGTGCCAGGCACGATTCTAAGTGAGTGGACACAGTGGTAAATACAACAGCTAAAAATGTTTGCTCTCCTGGAGTTTATTTTCTGGTAGATAAAAAGATAATCAGAGCAATATGAAGTACGTTAGATGAAGAAAGGTTGCAGGAAAGGGAGGGGGCCTCGGAGTGAGGGTGTTGCAAATGTAAGCAGTCAGGATGATGTTAGAGCTGAGATCTTGAAGGCATCTGGGTAAGAGCATTCCACGCAGTGGAACACCAAGTGCAAAGGTCCTGAGGTTGAGACGGGACTGCTGTGTTTGAGGAAGAAACTTGCTCAGCTGGAGAGTTGTAGGAGATGTTAAAGAAAGTGTCATAGGCCATTTTAAGGACTTTGCCTTGATACTGGGTGATATGGGATGCCAGAGAGTGTTTTAGAGCATTGAAAAGACATGATGCTCTTTATGTATTAGAAGGATCATTCTGGCTGTGTGTTAAAATTAGACTGTAGGAAGACAAGGTCAGGCTCAGAAGACATTTGCAAAAAGCTTGGCAGGCAGTGATGGTGGCTTGGACAGGGTAATAATGGTGGAGGTGAAAGCAAAGGTTTACATTCTGAACATATTTTGAAGGTAGGGCCAATAGAACTTAGTTGATGGGTTGCAAATGAAATGTGAGAGAAAGAGCAGAATTCATGGCAATTGCGAGGTTTTTGCCATTAGAAGCCAGAAACATCATGCCGCCCTTTGTTGACGTGGAGCAGGTTTGCAGATCAGGAATGAGGTTCTGGACACGCTCAGTTTGCAAGCCTACGAGCTAACCAAGCACAGATATGAAACAGGCAGTTGGCTGTGTGAGTTGAGAGAACTCATGAGTGGAGGGAGATAGACATGTGAGAACCATCAGCACTTCTGTGGTGTTTATGGCCAGGGAACTAGAGTAGAATATAATTCATATATCAGGGAAATAATGATGCTTTAAAAGTACACATGAAAAAAATATAAATAAAGTACACATGCAGCAATGTTTTCAGCAAGTAAAGGACAACACTTAGGAAACGCTTTTCAGTATGGAAACAGCTTTCTTAATTCCTACTCACTTTCTTTGTCCAGTTGTGTGTTTTGATTCTGAATAAAAGGGGGAAATATTTTCACTGTTAAGAAAGAGAGATTAATATAGAATTATTCCAAAATCAGGTTCAAACTGTGATCTGTACTTTCAGTGTACTGGACAGAAGAACAGCCCTGGAAAATGGGCATTGCATGAGAAGATTCTGTGCCGTCATGGAAAGGAAAAACCCGGTGTTAGAGCTACCAGCATTCTGGAAATTGACTCTTTTCTTTCATTCTTTCTTTTTTAATAGCGAACAGTTGAGAGAAAGCTTTTAACATTTTAAATATCCTTTAACTATGGCTATTTATTTCTGTGAACTGATTTACATATAATTAGAATACCTACAGGTTCTGAGGGAAAATACATCACATTCCAAGCTATAGAAATACAATGTTGGAGGCTTTTCAGGGAATAGAGAACAATNCATGAGCTCTTTATATATTTTAGATGTCAAGCCTTTATCAGATCTGTCATTTATGAAAATATTCTCCCATATTGTAGGGTACCTTTTTGTTCTATTGATGGTGTCCTTTGCTGTACAGAAGCTTTTCAGCTTGATATAGTCCCACTTGTTCATTTTTGCTTTTGTTTTCCTTGCCTGGGGAGATATATTCATGAAGAAGTCGCTAATGTTCACATCCAAGAGATTTTTGCCTCTGTTTTTTTCTAAGAGTTTTATGGTTTCATGACTTACATTCAGGTCTTTGATCCATTTTGAATTTACTTTTGTGTATGGGGTTAGACAGTGATCCAGTTTCATTCTCTTACATGTAGCTGTCCAGTTCTCGCAGCACCATCTGTTGAAGAGACTGTCATTTCCCATTGTATGTCCATGGCTCCATCAGCATATGTCACTGTCCATCAGCATAGTAAGATGCTATAGAGTCACTACTTGTCTTCTCTGTGCTATACTCTGCCTTCCCCCATGCCCCCTCCTATATTAATCACTATGATTAATCCCCTTATCCCTCCCTTCCCACCCATCCTCCCCAGTCCCTTTCCCTTTGGTAACTGTTAGTCCCTTCTTAGGTTCTGTGATTCTGCTGCTGTTTTGTTCCTTCAGTTTTTGCTTTGTTCTTACGCTCCACATATGAGTGAAATCATTTGGTACTTGTCTTTCTCTGCCTGGCTTATTTCACTGAGCATAATACCCTCTGGCTCCATCCATGTTGTTGCAAATTGTAGGATTTGTTTTCTTCTTATGGCTGAATAATATTCCATTGTGTATATGTACCACATCTTCTTTATCCATTCATCTACTGATGGACACAGGTTGCTTCCATTTCTCGGCTATTGTAAATAGTGCTGCGATAAACATAGGGGTGCATCTGTCTTTTTCAAACTGGGCTGCTGCATTCTTAGGGTAAATTCCTAGGAGTGGAATTCCTGGGTCAAATGGTATTTCTATTTTTAGTTTTTTGAGGAACCTCCATACTGCTTTCCACAATGGTTGAACTAGTTTACATTCCCACCAGCAGTGTAGAAGGGGTTCCCCTTTCTCCACATCCTCACCAGCATTTGTTGTTGTTTGTCTTTGGATGTTGGCCATCCTAACTGGTGTGAGGTGATATCTCATTGTGGTTTTAATTTGCATTTCTCTGATGACAAACGATGTGTAGCATCTTTTCATGTGTCTGTTGGCCATCTGAATTTCTTCTTTGGAGAAGTGTCTGTTCAGATTGCCCATTTTTTAATCAGGTTATTTGCTTTTTGTTTGTTGAGGCACGTGAGCTCTTTATATATTTTGGATGGCAACCCCTTATCGGATCTGTCATTTATGAATATATTCTCCCACACTGTAGGGTACCTTTTTGTTCTACTGATGATGTCCTTTGCTGTACAGAAGCTTTTTGGTTTGATATGGTCACGCTTGTTCATTTTTACTTTTGTTTCCTTTGCCTGAGGAGATACGTTCATGAAAAAGTTGCTCATGTTTATATTCAAGAGAGTTTTGCCTATGTTTTCTTCTAAGAGTTTTATGGTTTCATGACTTACGTTCAGGTTAGTTGTCTTCTTTTAAAAGCACCTTCCACTCCTCTACTTCTTCTGGTGGAATTAACTATCAATAAGTCCCATGCCAGGAAATTCAGAGGTGGCGGCCTTCAGGCTGGTGTCACCCGGCGCTGGGGCTGGCCCTCCGCAGCTGCTCTGCTGGGCCTTCTCTAGGATCAGCTTCATTGTCAGTCAGGTTTTCTTCATGGAGGCACAACGACTAGTTGTTTTCAGCTTTGCAGTTCTGTGTCATGACTTTCAGAGGAAGCCTGTGGTTCTTTTCATTTGTTTTAACTGGTGAGATGTACAATATATGACACTCCCACACCTGGCTTTTCTGAGGGGGACTTTTCCCAGCGTGAAGCCGATGAGGCCAGGGCCAAAGAACACACCACAGCTGGACAGCCACCATCCCAAAGGGCCCGGTGTGCCATGCTCTCTGGTTTTGCAGCAGCCCAGCTCTGCTGGCTTCAAGGAGAGCCGCTTCCCTGGAAGAATCCCTTGAGCACGCATCTCTGCAGAGGCACGGTTGTGCTCACCAGCTTGGCATTCCCCTGCTGGATGCGAGCTTTCAGATTTGAAGGCAGGGGAGAAGGACACGGCCCTTCTAGCCTCCTCCGTTATCAGATCAGCCCCACATTCCCAGCTCTAGCACATCTAACTGTGGTCCCAGTTCCTCTTCAGTCACAGAATGAGGCTGCTTTCTCAGTCCAGTTTGCACACCAGAAAAAACCTAGATCCAATGGCCGCCAGCTCAACAGGATGACAGATCAAGATGGAACATGGGCACTGGGTCAGCCAGTCTCCGGGCAAAGGTCTGTGGCAGAGACACATCCTTACTGAACATTCAGGTGCCCCATCATGTTTCTCAGACCTTGCAACCAGGTCCTGGCCTCTGCCTAGTTCTGGCCAATGGGCTGTGAGTAAAAGCAGTGAGGGCCACTTCCAGGCCTAGACATTTAAAACTGGCCAGATGTCATCAGGGAAATTAAAATAACGAGGCACACTATACACCTATTAGCATGGCCAAAATCCAGACCACTTCCACACCAAACGACCATGAGGTTGCGGAGCAACAGGAACTCATTCACTGCTGGTAGGAATGCAAAATGGGACAGCCATTTTGGAAGACAGTTTGGTGGTTTCTTCCAAAGCTAAACACCATATGATCCAGCAGTTGCGCTCCTTGGTATTTACCCAAAGGAGTAGAAAACTATGTCCACACAAAAACCTACACACAGATGTTTGTAGCAGCTTTACTCATGATTGCCAAACCTTGGCAGCAACCAAGATGTCCTTCAGTAGGTGAATGGATAAAGTATGTTCCATTCGGACAGTGGACTGTTATTCAGTGCTAGAAAGAAATGAGCTATCAAGCCATGAAGAAGCATGGTGGAACTTAAATGCATATTACTGAAATATGCAAATACTACATACTGTGTGATCCCAACTATGTGACATCTGGACAAGGCAAAACCATGAAGACAGTAAAAAGATCAGTGGTTGCCAAGTGTGGAGGTGGTGTTGAATAGATGAAGCACAGAGGATTTTAGTGAAAATACTCTGCATGATACCATAATGATCAATACATGTCATTATGCATTTGGCCAAACCCATAGAATGTACAATATCAAGAATGGATCATAGTGTAAAGTATGGACTTTGGGTGCTAATGATGTGTCAATGCAGGTTTATCAGTTGTAACAAATGTGCCACTCCAGCAGGGACTGTTGATAATGGGGAAGGCTGTGCATGTGTTGGGGCAGGGGCCATATGGAAACTGTACTGTCCCCTCAATTTTGCTGTCAGCCTAAAGCTGCTGTAAAAAAATAGAACCTTAAAAAAGAAGGAAGGAGGAAAAAGGATAGTGTTGTTTGTTCCCTCTCTTCTTCTTGCTATAACAAGAGGGAAGAGGACAGGGTTGATTGCTAAGCCACCATGAAATGTGACCTCACCAAACTTCATTGGAAACCTGATGAGAATGAGAGAGAAATACTGTTGTTGTACTAAGCCACTTAAAAGTAAGGGTTTAGGTATTACTGCAGCATAGGAGAGCCGATACTAATACAATTCCATTCTCAAAGCAACTCTCATATTTAGTCAGTGGTGTGGGCTGGGCCCAAGAGAAGGAGCTTCATACTGCTTTATTTGGGGCCATTACAACCCTGTCTATTGATTTCAGAAGATTTGTTGAGCAGTGATAACCACATGGGTGTTGGAGTCAACCTCTTAGCTCTGGCCAGGTGAGGGCATGGATATGCTGATATGAATCAGTCTTCATACTTTGCATGAGATTAAATTCATCTCAATCCCAATCAAGAAGACATCATCGGTAGAAAAAACAACAAGCCATATAAAAGTGTGTGTATTGGGTCATCTTTCCCCTACTTTTGATGTGATTCATGACTCTGTAAGCTAATAAAACACCTTGCTGAAATAAAAAGATCCATCCAAGCAAATATAAACCCTGACAGAGTTACTGTAGGACATTTCCTAGGGAGCTGTAACTCTGACAGCTAGTTCATTGAGAGCTAAGTAGAAAACCCAAACACTGACAAAGCTGCAAAGGAGAAACAAAATCACCATTCGGGGGAGTCTGTGCCAGGAAGCACTTGCAAGTCATAAAATATATGGGCTCTCAGTCCAAGAGGGCTTGGTACGGGCAGCCAGGCTGGCTCTTTGACGTGGGATGCCAGAGCTATCATTCACTTGGTTTCAGACATTTATGGAGCTTCTCGTCCACACCACCCTGTGCCAGGCTCCATGGGGGCAGAAGGAGCAGCGGAGTCTGTGTCTCTCTTAACAAGAGGCCTAAAGTTCTGTTGGGAGGTGAGATTTATTTTGGGGCATGACAAACCACTGTAAGAATTATGGCTTAGGAAAGCAGATACATACTAATGGTGTTAAAAAACTAAAAGGGAGGGGGCTGCACTGGCTCCTGTCTTCAGACCAGAGGGACCCACCTCCAGTGTCCTCGTTGGGGTCGTCTTCTTAGAGTGGGAGCGAGGCCACTGGTTGGGACCCCTTAGCGCATCCTTGATGGGTGGTTATTTGATCAATGCTTGAATATTTCCAGTGTCTGGGATCTTAGTACCTGTCAAAGAACGCCTCTTGGACAATTCCTTATATTGAGTTAAAACCTTATTTCATTTGACTTCTGCCTGTAGATACCCGATGTGCCGTCTGGATTACTTCAGTGCAAGTTTAATCTGTCTCCCAGATAACAACCCTGCAGATACTTGCTCACAGTGACCAGGCCTCATCTCGCCATGCATACACACGGCCCCTCACACCTCCTCTTGAGGCTGAGAACCCAGCTTTATTCAGAAGTACAGCCTGGCTTCCAGACCCCCACCTCCCGTATGGCCTCCCTGGTTCGCTTCAGCTGTCACAGGCTCTATGTGAGCCCTGCATGTACATTTGTC